TTTGGCACCAAATTGTAAACAAAAGAAAAGTGCACTCTGCTAATTCATGTTGAAAAGTATTTAATTACTTGTTTCAGTGGATTCTAATGAATTTGAAAGTATTTTTGGTTATTTACATGTGCGAGCTGAGTGTGTTTACATAAAAAATAAGCAAAAATTTACAACCAAAATTTGGAGGTTATGTTTAAGTTGACAGAAGTTACCATTTTTTACTAGAAAGCGATCCCGTACTTTTCAATGTTACTCTCTCGCTCTGACCGAATTTTTATTTTTTGACAGTTTTACTAGTCCGAGTCCGAGGAATACGGGATTGCACCTAATACCATACAAGTCTAAATCGGAAGAGTTAAGGTTCAGTTTTTCTTATACCAATTTTTGAAAAAAGTTAAAAAACAGCATTAAAAATCTTATTATTACGTTTCCGTAAATTTTTTTTTTTTTTAATATTTCTATGTAAATTTTTTGAGCTTAAACCGTTTTTTCATTTGAGGGGATTTTTTCAAAAAACATCTTTAAGAAACTATTTTTATTCATAAAAAAACTCCATTTTTGGAAGTATTTTCGCTTAAATCTTAATATTTTTCCGAAATATTTTGGTGGACGTCTTAAAATATAATAGATTTTATAATTCCAATGGAAAAACAGTACCGTTTTTTTTTTTGTATGGGGAGTGATGCAGTATAATACATACATATCGTCACCTGAAATGCAAAAAGACGTAAAAACATCGCAACTGAAATTGAAAAGGGCGAGACTAATATTTTTATTTTTTTCATGAAATTATGTGGGAGTTGTATTCCATCATATAAATCAAAGTGAATTTTGAATTTTTTATTAGTTATGGCTTTTTGCATTTCAGCGATGATGTTTGCTACGTCTTTTTGAATTTCTGTCGACGATATGTACGTATGTATGTTTTTCTTTTTTTATTATAGTGTGTTATTGGTGTTTTTTTATAAATACCTCCGTATGTATTAGCAATACTTATAGCTTATTTTCGAATATACGAGTATACATACATATGTAAATTTGTGTACGTACAAAAATATATGTATGTACTAAGGATATGCGATTAATCAATTAATCGAAGAAACTTGATTAATAAAATAATAATAATTTTCAATTAATAATCATTTTCGACAAAGTGATGTCTTCCCGATTAATTACATTTTATTAATCATAATTTAATTTATTTTATTAATCAGAAACCTGAATAATTGGTGCTATATTATTTATAAAAAAATGTATATATATATGCATACATTCATGCATATGTATATCGTTGCCTTAATATAGAAAGGCCCTATCTCACATCGTCGNATTTATATATATATGCATACATTCATGCATATGTATATATTTTTTCATTTCAATGATCAACATAATGGCTGTGTTTCTTAATACATTCCAGATAATCACATTTCACAGCCAGAATAAACAGAATGCGTTTGAAATATNGTGTATCAGCGACGATGTCAGATAGGGCCTTTCTATATTAAGGCAACGATATATTTTTTTCATTTCAATGATCAACATAATGGCTGTGTTTCTTAATACATTCCAGATAATCACATTTCACAGCCAGAATAAACAGAATGCGTTTGAAATATACATTAACATATCATCAGGATCGTTCTAAAGAATAAGTGAACAAAAAAGTTTATTCCAAACGTTCAGAATGAATAAAGAAATGCAGCCAATAAGGCGCTCATTTGGTATTATATTTTTGTTAATAAGAAAAATGTTGTATTCATGTATTATTTATTAAAAAAAAACTCAGTTGCTATGAAAGCAAACTCGAAAGATAAATATGAGCAAAGTCTCTCAGATTTCAATAAGATTTTTGAGTAAACAGTGCTTACTCAGGATCTGATTAATCACGTTTTTTGACTAATCAGGATTATGAAAATTTAAAAAGTTATTTAATCGATTAATCGCACATCCCTAGTACGTACATAAAACTGCTTCAAAGTTTTGAATTTACATATCGGCCGTTTACTTAAATAATATCATAATTTCAAAAAACACAAAGTTTCAGTTGAGTATGAAGAAATTGTCGCCAGGTTTTCCTCCATGTTGTTTCAAAATTTCATGTTTGTATTGATTACCAGTACCTCCCCAGCCAGCAAAATATCCGGAAACGTATCCGAAAATGGAAACAATTTCGTATAAAAACCTGATGTTTCATCAGTTTTCCGATTCCGTTTTCTGACATTTTTCAGATCAGTTCTCCCACTAAAGTGTTCATCCGAAACGTATGTGCAGAAAAATATCGAAAATGGTTGTAAAACGGATGCGCTTTCGTCTGTTTTCCTGAAATTTGTCTGATTCAATTTTTCGTTGAAAACGATGTCATTATGAACTTCACAGAAACTTTTTCATAGTTACAGGAAACCAAACAAAAAACAAATTTAAGATTCAGCAATTATTTCAATTTGAATAACTAATTTTAATGTGTTGCTTTTGGCGGAATTCGAACCTGGGACCTCCTGAAAGCTAACAAATAGTAGCACACTTCTCTGCACACTCAGCTACTGGCGAATATGTATACATGTTTTCAAATGCCCAGTTTGAACAAATATTTTAAAATTATTGTTTTGGAATAAGATGATGACATTTTTCGGATACGAAAAATTAACAAATATGAAAATTGTTTTCTGAACATTTCCGGAAACGAAAAATGTACGAAAACTGCATTTTCGGCAAAAAGTACGTTTCACTGCTGGCTGGGTCACTAGAACAAAATTTGTATACATGGGAGTATATGTAAATTCAAAACTTTAAAGCCTTTCTTCTCGAATTTCGCTTTTTGGGCTATGACAGTATTGAAGTCAATGAGCGATACACATACATACATACTTCCATACTAAAAATGAATACATATTTTGTTCTAGTGAACTACTACTGGTAGTCGGTACATCTATTGAATTTTTAACTCGATTTTGTATTATTTTGGACTATGACACTATTGAAGTAAATGAACGATATGTATACATACATTTATAATGAATCCTTTGCAATCTGCATAATGCGTTTATTTTAAAGAAGTTATCCAAATTATTTTACTAGGAATTACCTTTTGACTATTGTTAAAATGGAAGACTTCAGTACATTTAATATTTTTTTCTGATTTGTTACCAGTTTATTTTTTAATAACATATGAATTAGTTTCATTCCTAAAAACTTTATACGGATTAAATGTGTAAACTCTATATTTAATTTGTATTTATGTAAATATATTCAAGATAAAAGTACGCAGGTTTAAGTAACATGTTTACGATTATAAGCCTATGAGGAACAATATTATTGCAGTTATTACAAAAAAGTCCTACCAAATAATTTTGCAATTAATAAAAAAAATCTCTATTCTATATTAGTTAACTAATTTTCTATTCTTTTTTGTATAGATTTTTATATAAATACGCCTATATGCAAAGGCGGGCATGTATGTACTACGTAAGTACTAACACATCATTCAGATACATATTAGCAGGGCAGAAGTGCTTTCGTGGGTTTGCTGGAAGACTTTCCTATGCCAGCAAATATTAAATTTTCTTAGTTAAGTACACAAGAATGACGGCCAGCTCTTATTTATATTATGTCTTCCAGCAAATATGAGATTTAAAAGCGGTTTACAAAGTTTTTCATCCCAAAAATGATTATAAAACCCTTTCTTAGATTAACAAAAACTACCAAAACCTAATAAAACTTTAGTGAAATTAGAAAAAGAAAGCGCTACACAAAAGCTCATATTGATTCCCTGTAAATCTCAAAATGGCTGTAGTTTGGAATACAGGGATCGACCAAATTAGCTTTTTTGATATTAATACATAAATGCAAAATAGAGAGCAAAAACTTAACGACATTAGGCAACTATTTTTAAAACTTAACCGGCTGAACTTACTTTCATGACCCACTAGTGCTATAATAAAAAGCTAACTCAGCTTCTACACATTTTCCCTTCAAATCGCTGAAAAATAGGTCTCTTCATAAGTCTGGATTGCTCCTGTATATTTGTTTATAAGTGTACGTATATTTGTGCCAGATCGTTATAAAACTGCTGAGGTTAATTCTTCCCCATTTCGGTGACAAAAACGATCGGCAAAAACGTTAAGTTCCATGTGTTTTTATGTATGTATGTGAATCCATTTAATTGCCTGGGAAATTTATTTGATTTTCCATCGGTTAACATTCTAGTGGTGGCAAACTACCGATGGCACTATCGATACTAGTTTTTCAAAACTATCGAGTATTTTCACTATCGAAAATTTACTAAATTTAAGACACAAAAATGGTGAATGTGCATTGTATTAAGCGGCAATACTTTTATATAAAAGAATATATGGCAACTATATTGGCCTAACGTCTTCAGTTGAATCGGAACGATTGTACAGTAAAGTATCTTTAAGAGTAAACGAAAAAAGATTGCACCTAAAATCCTAAATAAAAACAATTGGCTTTAGAAAGCAGAATACGTAATTTAACGTTTAGTTGTTTAAATCATATTTTCATTATTAAGGTAGGTCCTTATGGTCAAAATTAAGTTGGTAGATAGTCGCGACTATCGATAGTTTGCCACCACTACACCAATCATATGCTTGAATCAATGGTACCTTGTTTAAGTGAATGCGAAACATTTCATTATTACTTTTGTACTAAAGCTCTGTATGCAGCTCTCAAGAAAACGGTCAAGAAAAAATTGCCATTATTTCGCGTGTGTGTCCAAGGAATTTTGACATTTTTGATACTTCACAGCCTGTTGCCTCACTCTTTCCTCAAGAAATAATGGAACGGGCATATATTTCTGTTGCAAACCCGAGTTGCCTTGTGCTCTTTTTTCACAAAAAACTTTAGAAAACAGTAGTAGAAAGCGTAGTAAATTTCTTAAGAACTGCGTACTGCGTTAAGGAAATTTGACTCAAGAAAATTTCTTAGCCATTTCTTGTACGTCATTTTATATGGAGATTTTGCTTTTCTTGAGAGCTGCATACAGGCCTTTACAATGAAAATTATTACATAGTTTTCTTTTGTAAATATTTATCTAAATTTTTCCTTACATAACTAATTTGAACCCTCGGATTTAAGCATCTACAGTTTAGTCATTTCCTCAATCTGACTACCTTCTAATCTTCGTGCAAGCGGTGGTATGAACAAATCACCATCAATTAGTTGATTATCTAAGTAAATTTGCTTATTATCTGCCAATTTTAATGCTTCCAGCAATAAGCTAAGTCCATATCCAGCAACTAAGGTGATCAAAAAACCAATTACAGAAAGCCATAAGTACGACAGTCTGTATATCCAAAAATAATCTACTTTAGCTTCATCTGTGGCCAACAGTTGTGTGGTAATATTGAGCGCGATGTTGTCAGTCTGGGTAAACGCCTCGGCGACTAAGGTGCTATTAATTGCGGCTACGCAACCATCAGCTTTGAAATCTAGCATTGTTGGCAGTGGCTTTGGTCCACCAAAACCGATAATGAACGAAAATATCAGCCCGATCAGCAGACCTATCAACACTCCACGTTGATTTGATCGCGTTGTGCATAAACCCAGGGTAAAAAGAGCTAGCAATGGGCCGCCAATTATGCCGAAGATAGTGAGAGACGCTTGCAGAACGCCACCCATTGAACCGGCCGTGAATGCCATACCAATGCATACGAGTCCATAAATGGCGGCCATAATTTTACTTGGCAGTGTTGATCTTGTTTCGTGTAGTGGATTATTTGTGATACGCTTGTAGAGGGGTTTGATGTAGTCCTCTAATGTCACAGTTGATAATGAGCTGACCGCTGATGAAACAGTCGAAAGGCTAGCGGAAAATATGCCCGATACAAAGAGTCCGCACAAGCCGGGATATTGACCTACATCAGTGATATGGAGACAAAGAGAAAAAGAGAGAGAATGCAGTAAGTTAATGAACATATGCACCTAAATGTTTACAAATGTACATAATAAACATATGTTTGTAAGTCGACAAATTATGTAAGTACATATGTACAATACTATTCACGCAAATATCTTAGAATATATACTATATATAAAACTTTTTAACAAATAGATAAAATATCATTGATTTAACAACACCGTTCAACAAAATTTTGTCGTATTTTATCTCAAAAACGGGGCCGACCTCATCTTACAGATTTTTTGATGCAGATTTGAAGTGCATTTATAACATTTTTCTAGCAAGTCCAGTTTTTGAGAAAAACATGTTGAAGTGTCAAAAAATGGCGAAAAATACAATATTTCAAAAAAAAGTTTAATATAATTTATAAAAAAGTTTAATATATCAGGGGCGAACACAAGTAGGGGTTTTGGAAGTGCTACGTTCCGAATGCATTGTGTAAAAATAACGAACTATTTTAAATGACAAATTCTGCCCCTCTGACAGCCGAACTTGCAGAAACTAAATTGATAGCCAAAAATTCATCTGACGAGTATCAAGGAGCGAACAAATTAAAACGCTTCGACACTGAGGACCTTAGTGCACCTAATTTCAGAGTAGAGATGGGCGCGGAATATCGGGAACCGCGGGACCCACAGTACTGATTTCAAGTTGGCCAGGATGAACGATATCGGGAAGGTCTTTAAAAATTTTGCGGGCAGGTGTCCTTTACGGACACTTCCGATAGAGCCGTCGGGATGGGCCGTCGGGATGGGCGGGTTCGGGACTTAAAAATTGAGTTTGGGATGGGACGGATCGGGATTAAATATTTAGTCCCGTGTCCATTTCTATTTCAGAGTAAGTTACCAATTCCCACAGTTCCCAGTATAAAATAATGAGATATATACGAATTCGATTGGAATTTTACTACCATGTATGAATACTAACGATTAGGCGTAGTTTGTTTAAGACCTAACAAAGGTCGCTTCACTAAGTTTTAAAAGGTTTTGACCACTATTGTTTTCAAGATTCCGCTAATTTCGCAACCCTCTGCGTCCCGAAAATCAAGTTTTACATGCCAGCGACCGAATTACAATTTCATATTCTTCCAGGTTCCTCTTAATGATGTGTCAAGTTTTTGTCGCCGTAAACTAAGCGATAACGGGAATTATGGCCTCCTTGAAAATCCGTGGGCACCGAATTCTACTTGTAAATCACCGCCTTCAACCAAAAGTAATTTAAAATTTCAATTGTCATCTGCATTTCAGTACCGACATTTCAATGAATATCTGTTGCATGAACGCCCCATACTCTCTTTTCGTTTACACTTGCGACAGAGTTGCATTTGCTTCAGTCTATCAAGATTGTTCAGTGAAATCGCTAGCGAAATTTATCAGAAATGTGTACCTACGGAGATTAGTCTAACAACATTCCTGGATGCTCTTAATGCTTGCAATCAATCAGATTACCTAATGGCATACCGATTCTTCTAGATAGGCGCAACACTTCCTGAGAGAGTTGTTCCAGCGAACGCTCCCTTTAAGCATAAATCATATTTACGAAGTAAAACTGGGGAACAAAGATTAAATGGTTTAGCTTTACTAATGATCCACAGAGATATAGAAGTTATGAACGAAGAAATATTGAATTAAATTTTTTCTTTTTAAGATGAAGTAGTAGAGAAATGTTATTTCACTCGAAATTATTAAAAAAAATAAAATAAAGACATATTGCACCACCGAAACCCGTATTTGCTGGAACTGATTAAATCGAAAAAATATATATATTTTTAAAACCTAAATATAGTTAATCTCTTGCGTCTGATTTTATGAAACCTACATATTTCATGAGTCTGATGAATTATGTTAAATCTGAGTTTTTAAATACGGCACAACACAACCCTCATATATACAGTTCAGAAATAAACTCATTTTAACCCATTTCATTGTTTTTAGTAATTGCTATAACTTATTAAATAATTTGGGTTAACCTTTTTTAACAGGTGGCAAGCCTCTTTAATATTCTGAATATTTAAACTAAGGATAACTTACCACCTTCGTTTCTCGCCGTATTTTAATATTTCATTTAACTTATGCATACTTTATACATACCAATTTTTAAATAGGTGCCAATCCTATTCAAAATATTTTAAAACCAAAACCTTGTATAACCTTTTTCGACTGCCACACATATTGCGATACATATTTAAATTAGGGCTATTCGCGATCCGGTGCAAATGGCCTAGCATCATTGCATTGCAAATTTGTATTGCAAATTATTTGCAATACACAAACAAAATACACGCATTTGCATTTGTCATGGCTTGGCAAATTTGCAATACCGAAAATCCATAGCATAAAAATGCTATGCATTGCATTCATAAACAAAACCAAAGCTGATGCACAAAAATTGTTTCGCAAAAGCTTTACCATGACAGTTTAATAAAGGTCGCTCACAATCCATGGCATATTTCTGCAATTGCATAAATTTGTCAGCTCTTATGCACCGAATCGCGAATAGCCCTATTGTGTATCTAATTCCCTTAATACAAGTTGAAGTTAATTTCTAAAACATATGACAACCCTCTCAAATAAAGTTGCGAAAAAACATTCTTAACACATGTCAATGTATACAAACACTTTAATAATTCATTTGACTTATTAAATAGTTTGAATTTAACTTTTTACACAGGTGGAAAAACCTTCTTTAATGCTANAACTGCCACACATATTGCGATACATATTTAAATTGTGTATCTAATTCCCTTAATACAAGTTGAAGTTAATTTCTAAAACATATGACAACCCTCTCAAATAAAGTTGCGAAAAAACATTCTTAACACATGTCAATGTATACAAACACTTTAATAATTCATTTGACTTTAATAAGTTAGTTTGAATTTAACTTTTTACACAGGTGGAAAAACCTTCTTTAATGCTATAAATGCTCAAACGAAGTGTTTCTTAGTTGTCGGCCTTTGTGGTGTAGTGGTAAGCAGTGGAACTCCGCAGCACCTGGGTTCAAGCCCTGGTCAAAGCAACATCCCAAAAAAATATAGAAAAAAGGTTTTTTGTTAACAGCGGTCGTCCCTCGACAGGCAATGGCAAACCTCCGAGTGCACTTCTGCCATGAACAACAGCTTCTCATAAAAATACAATCGCCATTCGTAGTCGGCGTAAATTTGTAGGTCCCTCCGCTTTGTGTGACAACATCCCACTAATGGAGGAGAAGCTCGGCCAAACACTAACATATGTGTAAGCGCCAATCTATTATTATTATTATGTCCTAAGCGATGGCAATTGTCAGATTTCGGTCAGAAATATACCAGTCTCATACTACGTCAAAATAGACAGAAAAACACTAGTCCAATTATAGACCAAAACCACTATAAATTGAAATAAAATGAATTCATGAATATAAAATAAAAAACTTTTGAATAAGCACACTTTAATATATTACACATTTTTATTTAGCAGCCTTAGATTTGCCAATAATTAGTGTTAAATTTCAGCTTTCAGGTACAATAAATAATATATTTTTATCTTTTTTAATAATACTAAATATGCAAAAAAAACATTTTAGTTAAAAATAAAATAAATACTTTAGTTCATTTTCGAGTGAACTTAAATAAAAATAAAAGTTTTCATTTTCATTTCTTTTTAAAATTTTATAAAAAAAGTAATTAATAACTTTTAAAATTTGAGATTTGGATAAGAATAAAATAAATAAATAATTCATGCAGTTATTAAATATTCTTAACTTTTGGCTATAGTTTGGCTTGTTGATTTATAATTGAAATTAATCAAATAATCATATTAATCGTGTAATTAAAAAAGTCAAAAATAATTGATAATGATGAAAAATAACAAAATAATCATGTAATTAAAATTAAGTAATGGATTAATTAACAACTTTTAATTGATTATTAATCATTAAATAGGTGCTAATATTGTTATTTAATCATCTAACGGTTATCCAAAATAGCATGCTCTAATTAATAGTCATTATGATTATTAATCATTATTTAACAGGTCTGGCATAATTGAATATGTACTCTCTTTAATGATTTACAATATACCCAAATAAAAGATATAATATTTTGTGTACTTTACTGTATTAAACTGTCGAGGTCAAATAAAACCGGGTATGAATTTATCGTTTTGTACTTGGTACAAGTCTGGTCATTTTCGAACTAGCTCGGTTCCAGTCAGGAAATTCTAGTTGTAAACTAGTATTTTTCCTGACTAGTTTGGGGTTTCCCTGCAGTGTAAGAACTAAAGCCTTTTCAAAACCATTTCGATCGAAACTCATTTTGTAAAATCGAACGAACGGTACATGATATAGCGAGAAAGTTTTCGCGTATTATGCATTCATATATACATAGATACGGTGACCATCCATCCGTACGGGACAGTCCTCTTTTTTCGTCAGTTGTCCTGGTAATTTATTTATTTTATACGGACGCCAAATGTTCTGTATTTCTTTTAATGTCCCTTCTTTGTCCCGTATTCGGTATTTTGATGCCTTAAAAGCTCATAAAAATGGCATGCCTATGAACCAGTTTTTATTTTTATATCTGGACGCTTGTGAATCGAATCGAGGAGCACATATCGTCGCCTGGCTAAAAGATTGTCATAAGCGCCATTTTGACGATTTTTAGTTCTAGATGCAGTTATAACGATACGTTCAAATTAAAATTTATCTTTACAATAGCATCATATCAAATCTGTACCGTTCGTTCGATTCTACAAAATGCTATTTATTTTACTGTGATCGAACGTATAAAAGCTGCAGCGTGGCATTGTTTGAACTTTTATTATTGGGCTGAACTGATTCTTGATGATAATTTTAACAAAATTTTCATTTAAACTCGCTATATCTCAGTCGTTTGTGTATCGATCGATTTCAAATTTTCATACAGAAAAACTACAAACTATTCCAAAGAATTCCAGTTTAACACCACTTCTTAATACTCAG